CGGAAGAGAATCACAGAAAGTTGCAAAATGAAGTCTCTGAAAATGTGTTATCTGGCAGAAGCAGTGTGTATTGTCATGTGAATGACATGACATGGTAAAGTACAAAGTTACAAATAATATAAATAAAACTTGAATCCAAGTTAATGTGATAGGTAATTATAAAGTACCAGTTGATTATGACAAACACTAACCAGGACAATATATTTTTCCTGTAAATGTGGCAAACAGTAAGCGATTTAAGGTGAAAAAAAGTTATAAAAGAAACATTAATTATATTGTCACTCTTTCAGAAAAGGAATAACCATTCTATAAAAAACTGGCTCTCAAACTTAGCCCTGGAAGTCACAGTGGGTTTTTTTTTTGAAGCACACCGCAAAATACTAATAACTTTTAATTTTATTATATAAGGTTAGAACAATTTTATTAGCAGAAAAATGACTATATTATAACACATAGTGGGTGCTCAATACACATTTGAGAAATGAATAAGTCTATCTACAAAATTATCAACCACAACAATCAAACTAAGTATGCTTAAGTTATTTCCCAGTTTGTTTTTATTAATACTCATTTGCCACCTGTTCATTCACTTTGTCATCTGTTACAGTTCAGGAAAATTACATGTAACAAAACCTTAAAAACAGAAGATTCTACACATTAACTTTGATTTGAATGATGCAGGACCTCAAGTCCAGGTCCAAGCAACTCCTGTTACAAAACACTGCTATAGTGTGGGTTTAAAACTGTGTACCACCAGCCACAGACTAATATTTCCTATTGAATCTAAGCAAGACAATTTTTTTACCTTGAAATAAATAGTTGATGTAAAGAAGAGCCGTGATAGATGGTCAAAAAGAAGTGGTTTCACCTCTAAAAATAATAAAAAAAATTATTCAATCCTTTAAATTAATATTACATTGAATTAAATGACTCCAAATTTTCGTGATACATACCAGAGAAGCTACTAAAAGGAATCCAGCTCACGAGTTGAAGGAACTGTGATCGACAACAGAGGCCATCCCAGAGAGGAAGGCTCTTATACAGGAATGCTTCACAGGAATAAAACCCCTCCTGTAACACAAGTTGATAGTAAAACATTGCATGGAACTCTTCAATTGTAATTACTCTTGAAACAACCAGTTTACTTTGTGCTATAGTTGTTTCACACTTAGACTAATGTTTTTTTGCCATAAATATAATTAAAAGCCTTGGATTAGGCTGTTAATTATATAAAAAGGACTTTCTCATAAAAAGGAGCAGATGATTAATATTTGGATACATTACCATCTTTATCAACATAGTTTTCAAACACCATAAAACTTTATCAATTGGAAAGAAGGTAAGAAGTCAAGTTATGGAATATTTTTAAAGATAAATGAAATTGTATTATTTTGGAGTACATGATAGTCAATAGAGTGTATACAATGTTGTATAATAAGGCTGGAATTTCATTAGGGGCCATAGACCAAACCCAGCTCTGGGCAGCACCATCTGGAGAGGGCTGAATGTCTAGGCTGTCTCTGTTTTTACCAGAGTGAAGATCCAGGGTTTTCCCTTTTAACTTTGTCGTCCTGAGCCTTAAATAGTGGCGTGCACCAAGACTCTATTCTGGACCTTCTTTTCATGACATGAATTCTCTGGACAATCGCATCTATAACATAGCTAAAACCACCACCTATATCATGAGGAGCCCTAAATTTCTGCATCTCTAGCCCAAATCTCATTCCTGAGCTCTAGGCTCATTATCTAACTGCTTACTGGACCTCTTAGATATCCCACAGGCATCTTTCAAATCAAATATATCTTTCCTTCCTAGCCTGCTTTTCTTATATTCCCATCATCATCCTCTCAAGCAGGAAACCTAAAAAATCAACCTAAATTCATCCTTTTATCCTCACCACCGTTATCCACACCCAACTTCTAATTCAATGGTTTCACACCAAACCCTTAAGATTTATTCAACAAACATTTATTGAGAATCTCTTATATCAGGTACCAAGTTGAACACCCATACATGAAGAAAAGTTAGACATGGTTCCCACCTGTCCAGAGCTCATAATGTGTGGAAAAACAGATGCTGAAAGTACCATGATACAGGTAAACACAGAGCTAAGGAAGCACGTAGAACAAACATCTAACCCAGACTGAGTAAAGGCTTCTTGATGGTGCTGATACCTGAGTGGCAGCTTAAAAGTATAACTCAGGGTTACCCAGGCCAAATAATTAATTGGCTGGAACATATTCGACAATCAAAAAATGTCTGTTGATTATAAGGGCACAAGTAGTGACCCTATGAGATTTATCTTACTGGCTAATTTAATTAATTTAATGCATTCAATTACATCTTCAGTTTGTTCTCTTAAATTATAGACCTTTCTCTCTTTTTTGGGGGGATAGGGGGCTCACGGGATTTTAGTTCCCTGACCAGGGATTGAACACAGGCCCTCGGCAGTGAGAGCGCTGGAGTCCTAACCACTGGACAGCTAGGGAATTCCCTAGACCATTCTCTCTTATTTGCATAATTTAACAAATTCTTTCTTCAAATCCAACAGTACAAAGATAAACGACAGTGCAACTTGGCTCTATTTATAATGAATTTTGAATTGAATAAATATTGTTTACAAAAGACGTCAAGCACTAAAGAAAAGGTTTTTAATGGACAGCTAAATAAATTAAGAAGTGGTGGGACTTCCCTGGTAGTCCAGTGGCTAAGACTCCACGCTCCCAATGCAGGGGGCCTGGGTTTGATCCCTGGGTTCGATCCCTGGGTTTGATCTAGTTCGTCAGGGAACTAGATCCTACATGCCTCAACTAAGAGTTCGCATGCCACAGCTAAAGATCCTGCATGCCGCAACTAAAACCCAGCGCAGCTCAATAAATAAATAAATATATATATATATATATTTATATATATATATATTTTTTTAAATGGTGAAGTGTGTAGGAAACAAGCAGAATCTTACTTGTAAGAAGCATTCTGCCTTGAGGATAGTGTCCAGGAAGTTGGTAAATTCTTTTCCATGTTCATAATTATTCACCTTGTACCAAATACATTCTGGAAGAAAAATATTAAACATAAGGCTCCAGTTGCACAACACTAAAAACTACACAAAACATAACCACCACAACTCCAAAGTGACAAATAAGTGACAAATATAAACAAGCTATCTGTCTCATACATCCTAGCCAACTCACACTGGAGACTATAATATATATGTGGAAGTGATAGTGTGATGTTTCTCAAGAACTCGGTAATATAGGGGGAAAGCTTACGGTGAAAAAATAAACTAGTAAATGTCACATATAATGAATGTGATTAGCTTTATGCCACACAGTAATCCAAAAGACTATAAGTGTATGAATTAAAAGTCTGAGAATGCCTAAACTTCAATTAGGGTGAGCTGGGGGTAATCTAAGGGTGGCAGAACTTTAGTTAGTGGAAATCTAACAAACTGTATCATATCCTATGTAAAGAAAGACTGAGTAGGAAAAGGAGAGTTATCTTGGAACCGACTAAAACTGACATTAAACACTTGAAGAGTCGGGATTTACTTATCCAGGAAAGAGAGAATCTGGTGAACTCAATACTATGTTTAGAGAAATCGACCTCCTTGGAGGAATGAAATGATCAGGCTTTACTATGGCCTGGATGAAAAACTCCCTCACTGCCTTTTCCTTCAGTTCTATAATTAAGAAACTTTCTGATGACTAATGTGGCCCCCATATATATTGATAGCAGAGAGCAGCTATTCTAGTCAGCAAACATGAAAATTTTGGTCACCAGAATTACTTCTATTATGAAATAAAAAGTTGACATTCTGGCTTACACAACAGTCTCTGAGTTTGGTTAGCATTAATCTGATGGTTCTGGGGGCTTAACAGCAAGTTTCTGAACATACAAAGATGAAGAGGCCTTGGACTGTGACAGTCATCAGAGTGGAGCCACCCAGTGAGTTTTGGTGGCCATCCAGCAGTGTTTCCTTAACAATACACCTCCTTTCTTACTACCCCTTAAAATTACAACAGCAGCATTCAGGCTCTGAATACATGATTACCGGAAAAATAATTACAGCATATGAAGGCTCCTCCTGTCTAGAAGTTGGCACCCTTTTAAAAGAAACCCATTTGTAAACCATCTTATTCCTTCTTCATTCATCTAACACTTCTAAGTATCAATTTTTACCTTCTTGTAATGTTTGACTCAACCAGTGATAGAGCCTCAGTAAGACTGACTCATCTCTGACACAGTTAATATAGTGTAGTAGCAGAGAGTTGTTCAGCACTGCACCCATCTGAGAAGGCAGCTGCAAAGACAGAACAATCGGTCAACTGTAAGTATATAAAAAGGAGATCAGAGCAACAAGGAAATCATCAGATAGGAAATATATAATAAAAATAAAGGCCACGAAGATCAAATGGAAAATGCAAATAAGCACATGGTCCAGTCACATACCTCTAAGCAATGGATGTTCTGTAAGAGTTGAGGGAAGCTTTTAAGCTGTTCCAGTGGAAATGATCCATTGCTACTGAAATAATCAGAAAGATTCATCCCCTTTTTCCCACTTTCTTTACTGTAGTTACAGGAATTTAGCACTGGTATAACTGAGTGAGAATTCCATTTCTAAAAAGAAAGATAATAAAACAATCTATCAATGGACTAAGCAGATTACAAACTATAAATGTAAAAGCACTTGTTAAGGTGGTTTAATGAATGGAGTCTGAATATAGTTTGCATAGAATACTGGGTAATTAAAATGTACTTAAATATCTATAATCTCTTCCAACATCTGAATGGTTATTGTTTGAATTTAATAAAAGAAGACTGTGCAAGTCACTTGGGGTTTTAGATACTTACTCTTTTTATAGGATGGACATTAGCTAACATCAACTTTAGAGGTTCTGGAGGAAGTCCCTGATTCCTTTGCCTCACAGCAAGTAGAGCTGTCTTCCACAGATTCTCTGAATTCTTAAAAAAGATCTATAAATTTGAATGTAAAGTACACAAGAGGAGTTATCCATAAGTCGGAGCAGCATAAAACCTAAAACTCTTCATTAATTGAAAGTATATTAATTATGAAATATTTTACACCCATGCAAATCCATTTAAGTTTTTTTTTTCTAATCAGGAATCTATTACATTGAATGGAATACACTGAATGGAATCAAAATGAAGTGCTAATCCCTAAAAAAACTCAGAAACAGCGCCACAATATTAGATCTTAAAACAGTATGATATAAACATTTTAGTCCAAATCTATAAATTAACTTACTCAAAACAACATATTTCTATCTCAATATGACTTACTGCTCCTTAATCCCTTACCTTCTTCCTCATAGGCAAAGATACAGAAATCAAAGTAGGAACAAAGAATTTATATAGTGACAACAAAGCCTGGAGATGAGGCTGCATTCCCTGCAATAAAATAAAGAGTTTCAATTTTCAATTCTGTGGCCAGTAAGAAAAAAAAAAGTAACAATAAAATAAGAAGATTAAACATATATTCAGACCCTAATTTTATTATGTGATATAGCTATAGGAAGATGCTATAGAAAATCAAGGAATAGAAACTCAAACATTTAAATCAACTATCATAAAGCAACCCTCGCCAACTTGTCATCTTCTCTTTTATGATCTTTTTCCATATTTTACTTCTTCCTTATATTTTCTCTCTTCTTCTCTGCCCGTGCCTTAGGCTTACCAGTCATATCTGCTAGCATGGCTTACTCTCACTGGTATAATACTCAGGACTCAAAGTTTACTCATTCTTGATTTAGACAGGAAGGTGGAAGAACAAAAAGGGAAGTCAAGAAAACAGAGCAAAGGAAATATTAATACCTTAGCATCATGATCCTTGGAAAATTCACTAGGATATCTAACAATTAGTATGCAGAAGTCAAACAGCTTGATATAACTGAAAAAGTCTTTACAAAAACATTAATTTTATGACAGAAGTCCTTACTGCTGGATACCTGTGTTTGATATATCTGGCTATCCAGAGGAAGCATACCACTAAAATTCCAAGGAAGAAACCAAACTGTTTCATTATATTACTATTTTATTGAATCAACTACTATACAAAATAAGGAAGGCAGAAAATGGGGATTAGAAATACAGTATTCCTATTTTATAATAGCTTCCTGAAATTGAATTTATGATAACAAAACCAAAATGACCCAGGCTATCTATGCTGAAATATCTTCTGATCTCTGTACTCATTATCAATTAGTACCAGAGTGTTTGCTTTGAGTTGGAATGTTTTTGAAAGAACAAATACTTAGGAGTGGAGAGACCTTTAGAACTTATTGTCTAGTTAACCAAACCTATCTTTATTGTTAAGAAGTTAACACTTTCTTAAAAGAAAGAGAGAGACTTCCAATTAAACATGGCATACTGAACATACATGTTTAATTCTGGGTCCTCATAAAGCCCCACTAAAAAGTAAAGGAATGGAAAAAGGCATAAAGCACAAGTTCAAAGAGAACAAGAAGGCAGACAATAGCACATGTGAGGTCTCAACAAGATTTTGGAACCTCAAATGAAGATGGACAAACAATAACCAACTTAGCAGAATAGAGAAAACGAAAGCTAAGGCAGCAACAGAAAAAGCCTCGAAAGCAGCAGATTCATGCTTGAGAACTCCCAGAAAGGCTCAGGAATTTGAGGGATCAGATACCTCTGAAAAGTGGAGGTGCAAGAGGGCTGAAAAACAGAAGGACTGGTTGAAAGCCTACATTAAGAAGCAGTTAGAACCCCAAATTCCTTCACTACACTGGCAAACATCAGGGTTTTACTCACTGAAGATAAAAGCTGGACTCATACAGTTTGCAGAACTGAGGGAGTGTACCATAACCTATCCCCAATCTTTTCTACTGCTTAAGTCCCAGAGTGCTAGTAGCCAGGTTTATAGTCCTGTGGCAAGTAATCTTACATGTCAACTTTGTTGGGCCATGGTGTGCCCAAATCAAATGTTCTGGGTGTTTCTGATGAGATTAACATTTAAATGGGTGGACTCTTGAGTAAAGCAGACTACCCACCATAATGTGGGTGGGCCTCATTCAATCAGTTGAAGGCCTATACAGAACAAAAATACCAGCTCCCCCAAGCAAGAGAGTATTCTCCACCAGACTGCTGACTGCTGATGAACTCAAACTGGAACATCAGCTCTCCTGGATCTCCAGCCTGCAGGCCCACCCTACAGATGTTGGACTTATGAGTCTCTATAATCTTGTGAGCCAATCCCTTATAAAAATCTTTCTCTCTATATACACACATCCTAGTGGTTCTGTTTCTCTGGAGAAGCCTGATTAATACAACCCCTAGTCAGGAAACAGGAGAATTTTTATTTTATTTTATTTTATTTATTTATTTTTTGGCTGCATTGGGTCTTCGTTGCTGCACGTGGGCTTTCTCTAGTTGAGGCCATCAGGGGCTACTGTTTGTTGCGGTGCGCAGGCTCTAGGCACGCAGGCTCAGTAGTTGTGGCACACGGGCTTAGTTGCTCCGTGGCATGTGGGATCTTCCCAGACCAGGGCTCGAACCTGTGTCCCCTTCATTGGCAGGTGGATTCTTAACCACTGTGCCACCAGGGAAGTCCCCAGGAGAATTTCTTAGGAAAAGTGACACCATCATCTGGGGAATTTCCCAATGAAACATCAAGATCCTACAATGAACAAGTCCTGCTCACGTACACAAGTTTGCAATGACCATTTTAGTGCTTTATTATTAAATATGGGCAAACAAGGTTTACCAGGTATTTGAGGAAAGCCTCTACCATGAAAGACCAAATAAACAAGAAAGGAACTCCCCCTTCCTTTTCCAAAGACTGCTCTCAAAGGACCTGGTGCATATAAGATAACAACATGCCTGCTCCACTTCCCACCATTTATGCTTGCCACCAGAAAGACAATTTGTCTGTTCTGTGTCCATCATGATGGGAAGTTATGGGGCATGGATGGGTATAGAGGGGACACATGCCTTTGCAGGTATCAAAAATTCACATACCCAATACATTTGCTTACATGGGCTGATTATGCCTGTTACCATTTTACATGTTCAGTTACATGTGAGCATGGCTATGTCTTCCAGGCTCGGTATTGCTGGATGTGATCACAGTCACCAAAATCCAGCTTATCAAAACAATTTTATGAATACATCTTTATAAATAGGCATTGATAATGGGGTAATTTAGTAATGTACTATATAGAATATTAATAATGAAGCCATATATTTAATGTCTGGGTTAAAAATTTTTAGACACTGTACTGAGTCTTTTTTTAACTTGAACATATACTTGTCTCAGTTAATACAAATCAACAAGATCTTATTTATGGTAAGATTTTCTTATTCCATTGAATTGTTTTGCTGTTAACATGGAAAAATGTACATCTTTTTCATAATTTCTATTAATGTGAAATAAAATTAAATTTGGACAAAAACATTATCATTACTATCCTCAGAGAGCTACGAGAATATACTGCACCCAGAGAGCCAAAATAGGAAGCTATAAAACAAGAACAATCATTGAATTGTACCAACAGGAAACCTCACAATGGAGAAGCACACATGTGCACATGTGTTTGTATTTTTCATGAAATTTGAATGCCTCTACATAGGTTACACAGGCTTCAACAGTTAGGCATAGGCACTACAACTTCCTATTGTTTTACACCCAAAGCTTCACAGACTTCTGTTACCTGGCAGGTATAGTGGAAATAACAATGCAAGAGAGCTGTAAGGACAAGAGATAGAAGTCAGGGAATATACTGAAGTTTAAGTATCCAGAAAAGAATGCTTTCCTAGATCACAGCCACAGAATAAATAAGCTAGTCACTTTAATGAAATAAAGTAGTCATTTTTGACTACTCCCTAACTTATTTTCCAGCCATACCAACCCAGTTCCGTAAACGGTTTCTGCTATTTGGTATCGACCTGGCTTTGCTCATGCTGTTCCCTCTGCCAAGAGTGCCGTTCTCTTCTTTCTTGGCCTAGTTAAATTCTACTCACCATCACCACTCCTCCTTGACCCCAGTCTGATTCTGATTTTTTATTTTGTTGACTGAGCTCCCCAGGCAATTAAGTTCCTTGAAGGTAATGACACATTCGATTTTACATCCCCAAAGCCTAGCTCGGTACCTAGCACAGAGTACACTGGCCAGTCTTAGGTCTTTTCAGTACTCACCATTTTGGCCTGAAGATCAAGCAGTTTTCTCACACGAAATGGTTTGACTAGAAAAGGTAAAGAAAAGAATTACTAGTCTGTGGTTCAGAATAAAAAGAAACCTTGTTCAGGTAGCTTCTCCTTACAACACATTAAGAATATAATTACGCTGTTCAGTTAATCCATTAAGCAGATGCTCTTAGATAAAAGTACTAAAAAGAAATCTCACAAAACCTTGTCATAGAACTAATGCTAACAGTTAACTTTATAAAGGCCAATACAAATGCTAATTCCACAGAGTGAATGTAATACAACTTGAATGAAAATACTCACCATTCTCTTTTTTGGTAAGTAAATACAACAAATGGCAGACATAAGGGCACTGTCAAAATATAAAAAATAAAAGAAAAAATGACAATATATCTTGAACAGAGCAACAGTGCATTTTCCTCAAATGTCAATCTTATACTAAGAAAAAAGGCTTTGGGACTTCATTGAACCATAGTTTTACAAAGCTTCTCTTTTTCATACTACATAGTAGTGATAAAAAAAAAACAATAGTTTTAATTGGCATCCCTTTATGCCATTTTAAAGTTATTTTTGGAATACAACGACAATGCAGACAATTTGAAAACCAGAAAAAGATTCTTCTACCTAACAAAAATTCATGTATTCCAAATTCCATAAATATTCCATATTTATTAAGATACAAACTTAAAATTTTTATCCTGATTTCCCACTTAAAAGTATTTTCCCATGTTACTTGGTCTTCAAAATGATCATTTTCAATGATCTTAATATTCCAGTGAGTGGATATACCAGAATTTAATTAATCATGTAGCCCTCAGTTTGGCAAATATCACATAATAAATTTGTTAAACTAGTAAATGATTCCTTGGTTCCCTTATACCACTTCATTTTGAGCATCCATTTGTTGAGGTTTTATTCTAGATCAGGGGTCAGCAAACTACAGTCCACCTGTTTTTGCAAATCAAGCTTTACTGGAACACAGCCGCAGTCACTCATTTATGTATTGGCCATGGCTGCTTTCACTACAACAGCAGAGCTGAACAGTTGTGACACAGACTGAGTGGCCTGCAAAGCCTAAGATATTCACTATCTGGCCCTTTACAGGAAAAGTTTGCCGATACTTGTTCTAGAAGAAAACTAGAGTAGAATATCTTCAGGACCAGAGGGTGGCAGTGTTTTTCTTTCATTAAAAAAAAATGATAACCATAAAATAAAACATAAAAAAAACCAATAAATTAGAGTTCATTAAATTAAGAATATCTGTTTATCAGACAAGGAAATAATACTCTATTGGAGGGATGGGTAAACAACAACCTGTGGGTCAAATCCAGCCCACTGCTGGTTATTGTGAATAAAGTTTTATTGGAACACAGTCATTCATTTATGTATTTATTGTCTGTAGCTGCTTTTGCGCTACACCAGCAGAGTGAGTACTTGTAACAGACAGTATGGCACTCAAACCTAAATATTTACTACCTGGCCCTTTAAGAAAAAATTTGCCAATACCTGCTTTAAACGTTAGGAAATTGAAAAAGTAAATTATTAAATAGGACTAGAGAAGGCAACAAAAGCAAAGATCTTCTTTAAACAAACTCATATTTTAGTAGTCTTCATTCTAAACTTTGAAGTACAGCATTCCATATTGCCACTCCTTTACTTAGAAATGGGTTGATAAAGAATGAACATACTTGTAATAAATGTGGATTTATATATAGGATCTTCTTGTTTTTAACGGAAGAATACATGTTATGACCAAGTCTGCCACATTGTACACAAAATATAGTAACTTTCAGTAAAAAAAAACAAAAAACAAAAAAAACTCACTGCCTCACATCCCTAGAATATGAACCATTAGCAATACTGTTTATCATGTTGGGTATGAAACGAGTGCCACCCTAGGCCCCAGCATTCTATCTGACATTCTCCTTTAATCACATCTAGAAAGGAAAAATTCATGTGCATCTAAGACTTTACAATTGCTTTTCTGGCAAATAGATAACCACCACATCTCAGTCACTACAGAGTCAGGCGCCTGCCAAGTTGTGACTTTTAATGCTTTTAAAAGTTAGGATCCCTATTTCTTGATCTGGGTGATATTTATACAAATACGTTCGGTTTATAAAAATTAATTGAGCTGATCACTTATAAGTAATTTTGTGTATGTATACTTCAATAAGTATTTTTTAAAAGATAGAAAAAAAGAAAAGAAAAAGAAAAAAAGCAGGCCCCCTTCCCCTCTGCCATGCTGAGCAAGAAACTCTCTAGTCAGCATCATGAAAACTACTCAAGTATATTGCAATTATTTGACAAACATTTATGAATAGTTCCTATTCATTCATTCACTCATGTAACAAGTACTTATTAAGCAGTGGATAAAACAGACAAAAAGGTCTGCTCTTATGAAGTTTACAATACTAAATACCTGGGTTATAAGAGGCTCAGTCCCTGCCTGGAAGAACTCCTAAGTATGTATCCAAAAGAATTCTAAGCAGGGACTTGTACAGGCACTTGCATGCCAACGTTTACTGCAGCATTATTCATGTTAGCCAAAAGGTAGAAACAACCCAAGGGTTCATAAACAGATAATGGATAAACAAAATGTGGTATAAACATACAATGGAATACTATTCAGCCATAAAAATGAAGTTCTGACACATGCTATAACATGGATGAACTTTGAAGACACGCTAAGTGAAAGAAGCCAGACACAAAAGGACAAATACTGTATGATTCCACTTATATGAGGCACCTAGAATAGGCAAATTCATAGACAGAAAGTAGGTTAGAGGTTCCCAGGGGCTGGGTGGAGGAGGAATGGGGAGTTATTGCTTACTGGCTAGAGAGTTTCTGTTTATGGTAATACAAAAGTTTTGAAAATAGATAGCAGTGATGGTTGCACAACATTATGAATGCAATTTATAACAATTAATAACACTTAAAATAGTTAAAATGGTAAATTTTACGTTATGGAAAAAAGATAACAGGTTAAAGAATGAAGTACTAATACATGCTGACAACATGGCTGAATCTTGAAAGCATTATGCTAAGTAAAAGAAGCCAGTCAAAAAAGACCCCATATTAGGGACTTCCCTGGCGGTCCAGTGGTTAAGACTCCGTGCTTCCACTGCAAGGGGCCTGGGTTTGATCTCTGGTTGGGGAACTAGGATCCTGCATGCAGCGCAGGGCAGCCAAAAACAAAAAGAAAAGAAAAAGAAAAAAAGACCCCATATTGTATGATTCCATTTATGTGAAATGTCCAGAATAGGCAAATCTCTAAAGACACAAAATAGATTAAAAGTTGCTTAAGAACCTCTAAATAGGAAGATGGGGGTGATGGCTAAAAGGTATGAGTTTTTTTTTAATAAAGTGAAAGAATGTCACAATAAAGCAAGTCACATGAATTTTTTGGTTTCTCAAGGGGTATGAGATTTTTGAGGTGATGAAAATGTTCTAAAACTGACTCTGTTCATGGTTGAACATATCTGTGAACATACTAAAAAACCAGTGGATTTTACTTTGAGTGGACTGTATGGTATGTGAGTTACATCTCAACAAAGCTGTTTTAAAAAAGTATCCAGCAAGAAAAGAAATGACATACTACAATTAGACTGATTCGACAACAATGGAAAGGAGGTGCCAGTGCAATATTGTCAATGTCCTGAGAGAATTTCACTGTCACCCTAGAGTTCTACACACAGCAGAACCAATTTTCAAGAGCAAGGACATAGTAAAGATATTTTTAGGCAAAGACAGAGTTTACCATCAAAGATTCTACTGAAAGAATATTCTAGAAAATGAGCTCGATTGAAGGTCTGAGATGCAAAAACAAATGATGAGCAAAGATATTGGCAAATATGTGGGCAAATCTAGACAAACACCAACTGTGAAGAAAATAATAATGTCTGCTGTATGTGTATGTGGAGGAGGATGGAGAAGAAAGAGCCAAAACTAAAACCAGATAATAGCATATAATCTGGGACGGGTGTGATCAGAGTTAAAGCATTCTAAGGTCCTTGTATCATTCAAGATGAAGGTAAAGATATTAGTTACCTTTAGACTTTAAGAAAAAACATTAAAAATTTAAACTGAGAACATTATAAAGTTATTAATTCATTAAAAATAATAAACCCATTATATGATAGATGACATATTTTATGAAAAATAACTACATTTTCCAAACAAAAGAAAAACAGTAAGAAGGATGACACTGTTTTACATTTTACACTATATACGCATGTTAAAATAGGTACAATAACAGCTAAAACACACACAGAATGTGTAATTTCCAACCAAGAATGGGGGAAAACCACAATCAGTCCAAAATAAGAGGGATGAGGGAAAGAATCAGAAAAAAGCAGATCATTTAGAAAGCTCAAAATAAGATATTGATATTTCAATTCATTTCTACTATATCAACAATCACTACAAAAGTAAATAAACTAATTTTCCAGGTAAAAGTGAAAATCGTCAGACAGGATTTAAAAATAAAATCTAGTTATATGCTATTGAAAAGAGGCATCTAAGGGATTTCCCTGGTGGTCCAGCGGTAAAGAATCTGCCTTCCAATGCAGGGGACGCAGGTTCGATCCCTGGTTGGGGAGCTAAGATCCCACATGCCATGAGGCAACAAAGCCCACACTGTGAGCCTCAAAGAGAGAGCCTGCCCACGTGCCACAAACTACAGAGCCCATGTGCTCTGGACCCTGTGAGCCACAACTACAGAGCCCACACACCCTGGAGCCCGCGCCACAACTAAAGAGAAGCCCGCGTACCACAACGAAGAGCCCATGCCGCAACGAAAGATCCCACGTGCCGCAACTAAGGCCTGATGCAGCCAAAAATATAAAATGAAAAAAAGAAAATAAATTGTTTTGTAAAAATAAATAAAAAGAGGCATCTAAGACATGAGGGCAAAAGAAGATTTTTCAAAAAAACCAAAAGATGGTAATATACCAAGCAATATACTAGCCAATGTCAATATCAAACGAAATGACTAAAACAAAAAGCATTTCTAACAAAGGGCAACTCCATGATAAAGGTTTGATTCAGCAG